GGCTGCCTGGGACGCAGACGTCTGCTGTGGTCCACTGGCTGACATGTGATTCTCCACCCCGTTGCTCTGAGCCTGTGTCAGGATTTCCCAGAAGGCAGACAGATGGTGGCACTGGGTGAGGGAGGGCCTCTGGGCAGTGTGTGCTTGGCCTCCGTGGCCCGAGGGGGAAGATGCACCCTGCGCCCAGGCACTTCTGCACCCAGGCAGCTTCCTCGGGCAAGGGTGTAAGGGCTGCCTGTGTGGCCGAGAAGGGTGCGCCTGGCATGAATGGGGACCTTGTACCGAAAGCCTCGCTGGAGCTGGAGCAGCAACACAGGGGCTTTTCACGAGGAGCCCTGCACAGAGGCAGCATTGAGCGGGACTGGTGGCTCGCGGGCAGACGCGGGGTCTGATGGACGCGTGGCATCGGTGACACAACATTGCTGCTCCTCTGACCCTGCCTCAGCTCGGGGAGTGGGGTCTCTCCTCAGAGCAACAAGCCAAGAGTCACATTGTCCATAGCTGCAGCTGCCCTGTTCCCCTCTCAGGGGTGTTTGAGGCCCTACAGGGACACAGAATGTGAGCAAGGGGGTCAGTGTGTGCAAGGAGGAAGCGGGGCTGCTGGATAGGAAGGCGTTGAACACAGCTGCTTAGAGACATCCCAGATAAACTCCACTGGGGCGACAAGAGAAGGGAGCCGCCCTGTGAGGTGGTACCTGGGAGGCTGGAGGACGCTGCTGCGTGGTGGCTTAGGGTGCAGGGCAGGCCTGGGTTCGGTGCCCTGCCCAACCTGAACAGGCTGGGCACAATGGTGTGTCCCTGTGGTCCTCGCAGCCTGGGAGTGGGGGCAGGAGGATTGGGCTGTGGCAAGACCCTGCCAAAAATACTCTCAGGCCAGCCAGTAGCATGGTGATTGGGGTGCCTGGATTCCTCATGGCTACCAGCATGGTTCAGGTGCTGAACCCAGCAGCTTCAAAAAACACACCAGGTACATGTGCGTGTGTGCCAAAAACCCCAAGGAGAATGGAGGAGAAGGGGCTGTGGTGTCGCCATTCCCCCTCAGGGGTGATTGCTCATTTTCCCTCTCTCTCTTTGTCCCTGTCTCTCCATTAAGGGAAGTACCTATGGCAAAAGTCTTAATTTATAAATAAATAAATAAATAAATAAATAAAATGACAGCCTGGGGCCCAGCAGTGGTGCAGCTGTAATGCAACTGGATCCTCAAGGGAAAGGTCCTGAGTTCATGCCCTGGTTCCTCACTGAGCATCCCTATGTGTACCCATGATCCAGGCTGGCTAAAATGGGGTCGATTGCGATGTGAGGACCCTGTTGGGAGTGCCTGTCTTTCTCTGTCTCTGTTTCTCCCCCCTCCGCACCACCCGAAGAAATAAATTCAGTTAAAAGCAAAAACAATTAGGGGCTGGCTAGTGGTGTAGTGGTTAAGGGCTCTGGACTCCCACATGGTTGACTGTAGTTCGAGTCCCAGATCTGCCGACTTGCTTTCTCACTTTCCCTGTTTCTCTCTCTCTCTCTCTCTCTCGCTCTATCCCTGTCTGGTCAAATTTAAATAAATAAATAAAGTTAAATAAGGTAATTCTGTAGAAAGAAAAGCAACAACAATTTAAAAAGAATGAATGCTGAAAGTAGCCTGCAAGTGCCCAGTAGAATCACCTGACAATCACTGGGCTGTGATTCCTGTTTCCGGTTTGTTACTGTGGCACAGTCTGCCTGTCCTCACAGGAAAACTAGCAAAAAGAACGTGTAAAACGTAGTAACAGTGACTCAAGGATGCACACGGGGCCAGCAGGTGGTGTGATGGTTGAGGCACTGAACTCCCACATGTTATTTAACTTTATTTATTTATATTTTAATTTTGACCAGAGAGAGAGAGAGAGAGAGAAAGTAAGAAAGCAAGCCGCTAGGTCTAGGACTTGAACTGCAATTGGCCATATGGGAGTTCAGTGCCCTAACCTACCATACCACCTGCCACCTGCCAGCTCAAATAAATAATTCTTAAAAAAAAAAAACAGAAAAAAGGGACTGGCAGGTGGCATGTGCTTGAGGGCGCTGGACTCCCACATGGCCAACCGCAGTTTGAATCCTGGACCTAGATAGAGGCTTGCTTTCTTACTTTCTCCTTGTCTCTCTCTCACTCTAGTCAAAGTGAAAAATAAAGTTAAATAAAGTACTTAAACATTAAAAAAAAAAAAAAAGTAGTGAGGCTGGGCCATGGCACGGTGGTTAAGGCTGCTGGATCCCATATGGCTGACCATGCAGTTTGAGTCCTGAACCCTGTGGCTTGAAAAACCCACTAGTCATATGCATGTGCATGCCCAAAATCTGGAAAGGAAGGAGAGATGGAGGAGAAGGATTGTGGTCTGACCATTTCCTACTCACACAGGGATGCTTTCTCACTCTCTTTCTCTCTCTCTCTCTCTGGCAAGCACATGCACCCTGTGGCCAAAAGAAGAAAAAAAAAAAAAGAAAACATATTGACAAGAAAGAGAATATTAAAGTAAAAATTCAGAAGATGACTTTTCCTTAGGTGGAGGATGGAGAGAGGTATGACTAGCGGGGAACAAAAGAACTTTCAAATGTGTTGGTCATATTCTCTGTTTTTTTATCAGTTATTATTTTATTGGGGGCCAGAGGGTGGCATGGTGGTTAAGGTGCTGGACACTCCCACATGGCCAACCATGGCTCGAGTCCTGGACCTGGTGGCTTGCTTTCTCACTTTTTCTCTCTTGCTCTCTGTGTCTCTCTCTGGTCAAATTTAAAAATAAATGAATGAATAAATAAAATTAAATAATTTTTTTAAAAAAAGAATTATTTTACTTATCTTTATTTATTTATTTTAATTTGACCAGAGAGGGACAGTGTAAGAGAGTGAGAAAGTGAGAGAGAGAGAGAGAAAGAGAAAGTGAGAAACCAAGCCACCAGGTCTGGGACTTGAACTGTGGTTAAGCCATGTGAGAGTCCACCACTCTAAACCACCATGCCACCCGCCAGTAACTGGGTCATATTGTCTTATCAAGCAGAGTTGTTTTCATTCTACTGTTTTCTATTCCATTTGTATAAAATAATAACAATTTACATTTCAATCATTAAAGTGTGTATATTTTAACTTAATATGATACTTAATATTTCATATTATAAAAATTAAAAACAAGATGATGCTTTATAGTACTATTATTAGAGTTAAAAAAAATAGATGGGGCTGGCAGGTGGTGTGGTAGTTAAGGGTGCTAGACTCCTACATGGCCAACTGCAGTTTGAGTTCTGGACCTGGCGGCTTGCTTTCTCATTTTCCATCTCTCTCTTTCACTGGTCAAATTAAAATAAATAAATAAAATAAAATAAAGACAATTCTTTAAGAAATTTGAGGGGAGAATATATATATATATATAATCTGTAGGGACCAGAAGGTGGCATGGTGGTCGGGGTGCTGGATTTGGATTGCCACATGGCTGACGGCAGTTCGAGTCCTGGACCTAGTGACTTAATTTCTCACTTTGCCTCTCTCTCTCATCTCTCTCTGGTGAGTGCATGTGCTCTATAGCAAATTATTTTTTAAAATGATAAATAAAATAAAGTATTAAAAAACACGCACACACACACACACTCAGGCAAAAATCCATACTCTTTACATGTATATGGCCCATCTGAAACGGTGAGGAGGAAGAGTGTCTAAGGAGAGGGGAATGGACCAGGCGTAGAGTTGGTAGTCCCACAGGAAGGAAAAGAAAAGAAAGAGCCATTGACAGAGAGGCAAGAATTGGCCCAAGAAGCAGGATACCTGCCTACAGTCTGTGGCGTTGGGGAATCGGTGCTAAGTCCTGGTCTGTGTGAGAAAACAATGGCACTCACAAAGACGGTTATTGAAGCGTGTTTAATAAAGGGGCTATTTATAACAGGTGGGCGGTGTTGAGGGAAACCAACGAGAGATGCTGCAGTAGAATCCTAGCAGCAGCTGGGAACCATTACTTCCTCGTGCGGGCAGAGGGAGCACCTGAGAAACGCCGTTCAGAGCGGGTATTCACAGGAACACTGAGAACCATAGTGACCTGAGAGGGGGCTGCCAGTGGGGCCCGTACCTGCCTTCCCAGCTCCTGTGATATTTCCCACTGGGGAACCCCATTGGAGGCCAGAGGTAAGCCCTTCAAATGGTCCATAGGATAAGAAGGTTTTGTCAGGAAGCAGTTTCCAGAACATCAGAATGCTGGTACCCTAGCACAAGTCAAGGCAATGGCCTCAGAATGTTGTCACGTTCTTCACCAGTGGGCCTTTGTAGGGGGGAAAAGCCAGTATCACTTAAGAATATTTTTGAGGTGGGATCAGCAGTTAGCGTAATGGCTATGTTGCTGGACTCCCATGTAGTCGACCGTGGTTCACGTCCTGGACCCGGTGGCTTAAACTCACGCCGGGCGCGTGTGTGTGCGCGTGCCCAAGATCCCAAGAGGAGAATGGAGGAGAAGGGATTGCGGCGTGGCCATCCCCCCTGGGGGGTGATTTCTCACTTTATATCTCTCTGTCTCTCTCTGCCTGTCTGGTGAGCGCACGCGCCCTATAGCAAAAACCTCTCCGTAAAAAAACAAATTTTTTTTGAGGAAGCAGAGAGAGGGATGAATTGCATTTAGCCTTAACGCATGATTCCTTTTATGTTTCATGTGAAGAAACAGCAAGTATGCATAAACTCATGCAAATTGAAGTACCATGGTTGTCTTAGGGAAATTGCATGGGTGATTTTTTTGAACTACAAACTGAATTAGACACTTCCTTCATGGTCTCTTATGTTTTTACTTAAGAGAATGGTGGACAACTGTGTTTTTATTTTTATTTTATTTATTTATTTTTTGTAGGTTTTTGCCATAGGACACTTGTGCTCACCAGAGACAGACACAGCAGTGAGAGGAAAAGTGAGAAATCACCCCCCAGGGGCATGATCGTGCTGAAATCTCTTCTCCTCCATCCTCCTTTTGGGATTTCGGGCACACGTTCGCATGAACCTGGCTTGAGTTTCAAGCCACCAGGTTGAGGACTAGAACCTCAATCAGCCATATGGGAATCCAGCGCCTTAACCACTATGCCACCTCCTCGCCCCCAAACACAGTTATTTACACATGGATATTTTGAGGACATCTTGTTAAAGATGAACTAAGGGAGTGTCATTCAAGGAATTTGTGGCTGAGCAAGGGGAACTATGGTCGCCCTAATCTGAGACGCGGATCTGTGTCTCTTGGGAGCAGGGAGGACGGGCTTGTTGGTGACCAGGCAGTGGGGGGCAGGTGGTGGCTGCTGGCTGTTTCTTTCTCTCTCAGAGATGCTGACTGAGGCAGACCTGTTGGGCATTGAGGAGGGCGCTTCCTGGCTCCAGGTATGGGATTGATCCCCTGGGTGCTGTGAGATGGGGCCCATGGGAAAGCACTGGTCTGAAAGGAAGGCTTGACATTCCCGGGGAGAAACAATGTCACTTTTTCATTTCTCCAGCTGAAATGCCATACAGCCTTCCTCAGGGTCCATTTGAGCCTGGGCCTGGTCCACAGCAGCTTGAGTATTGGAGGTGAGGTGGTCGGAAGGAATGCAGAGCCCCCCACACCCTAATCCCCAGGGCCTGGAGGGAGGATGCGACTGGTACGGGCTAGGGCTGTACTTTCAGCTCCAAAGCCCCTCTGAAGCAGGAGGCCAGACTATGAATTATAGGTTTGGCCTGGGAGCCCTGGGCCACACACTCCTTTAGGGAAGATAAGGACAGATCAAAGGAAGCCGCCCCTCACCACCTCTGTATCCAGGACCCACGACCCGGGCTACAGTGACAGGAAGGATAATATCCATGCGCAGAGAGGGGATTCAAGTAGTGCCTTTGGAAGCCTCTTGCAGCAACATCTTAGGTGAAAGCATCTTCCTTGCACAGCCTCCCACCCACAGGCGTGGACTCTTGCATCCTGGAGGTCCTCCTGGGTGGTTCCTCCCTGTCCTGCCTTCTGCTCGTTTAGCCTGTGGGGCCGAGGTCAATCTAAAGGTCAAGAGAAGATTTCATGAACCTGAGTAAGAGCTGCAGCCTGTGGGGAACTGTGTATCTGCCCCATGCCAGGCTCGGGGTACAGCCAATACTGTAACAGCCGCTAAGTACTCACCCGACCCCCAATCTCTGGGGATAAAGCTGGGCTTGCCTGGGGACCTTGTGCGGTGTGGACAAAAGGATCACATCACACATGACTCATGTGCCCACACTTAGCCGACTTCCCAGTAGACGCCTCTGCCCCCCCACATCTCTGTGCCTCGCTCTGGCCAGCCAGGCTTCTTCCTTCCTGCTCCTCATTCAGACTTTAAAATCCCCTCTGCTGTCCAAGGTGATGGGGCTTTTCCCAGCTCCTCCCCTGGCCTCCTCAGGATTCCCCTCAGCCCTCACTAAGTGATTAGAGCCAGTGGAGAGTTCAGCAAAGGAGCCCAGTTGCTAGCTGTCTGTAGCGGCTTACCTGACCCCTAAAGAAGGGGAAAGCCAGGGCCAGCGGGTGGCATGGAGGTTAAGATACTGGGTTCCAGGACCAGCAGTTAGTGTAATGGGTGTGTCGCTGGACTCCCACGTAGTCGGAAGAGTCTTCGGATTCTTCTTACTCTCTTGGCATGTACATGCCAAATGTCTTGGGTAGTAAAAATAAGATTACTGACAAACACAGAGCACATATTATGTCGTGAGTTTTTCTTTTTCTTTTTTTTTCTGACAGGTTCTTGCTATACTGTGATTCCCCAGCCTCAGCCTCCCCAAGGAGCTGGGATTACAAGTGTGTGTCACTGTACCTGGCTGGCCTGTGGCTGGACTGGGGAGCATACTCAGGCTTCCGATGTGGCCCCAGCCTGTGGAGCCCATGCCACTGTGGCTGGGCCTCCAGGTCCTATTTTAAGCACACTATAATTATTAACTTATTTAATCTCAGTAACTGAGGGAAGGGGAGGTGGGTCTAGTTTCTTGATGATAAAGTGAGGTCCTCGGGGCAGGGACTGGGGTGACATAGCTTCACATTCCCTACCCTTCCTCACACTCTAGGAATGTTTGCTGAGTGACTCAGTCTCCTAGGAGGAGGGCCATCCCATCCTGGTTACTCACTTTTTCGTTCTCTTCAAAAAGGTAAAGTTTCCTGTCTTTTCTCATACCCTCAGGGAGAAAGTGACAGAAAGTGATCTGGAGAGGTTTTCAGAACCCCCTGCCTGCAGGTGGAACATCCAGAAGGCAGGCAATAGACAGGTGCAGAGGAGGACAGACTCAGGCTGTTCTGGAAGGAGGCTCTGGGCGTATGTGTTTGTGGTCGTCTCTGGATGGTGGACTGTAGATGACTTGGGTTTCCTTTCTCTTTTTTATTTTTTAAATTCCTGATAGAGCTTGTGAGTGTGCATGTAAGAAAAGGAGGGAGAGAGAAGGAGAGAGAGAGAGAGGGAAGCACCCTCCACAGAATCTGGTCATACTGAGATCCTATACTGCAGTCATCTAGCCCATGGGATCTTGGACACACATGCGCAAATATTACTCTTACATTCTCAAAGAGGGAGTTAGATATTAAAAAGAAAGATGGTCTGGTCTCATAGCACAGTGGTTAGGTGCTGTGCATAGGACGCCAAATCTCATATGGCTGACCAAGTTTCAAATCCTAGACCTGGTGGCTTGCTTTCTCACTTTGCCTCCCTCACTCTCTCTCTGGTCAAATTAAAATAATAACAACAATACTTATGAGGATGATAAATGAAATTAAATGAAATAATTCTTTTAAAAAATTATTTAAGGACCAGCAGATGGTGTAATGGCTACGTCGCTGGATTCCCATGTAGTTGACTGTGGTTTGATTCCCGGACCCAGTGTCTTAAACTTAACGCTGGGCACGTGTGCGTGCGTGCCCAAGATCCTGAGAGGATGGAAGAGAAGGGATTGTGGCGTGGCCATCCCCCCAGGGAGTGATTTCTCGCTTTCTATCTCTGTCTCTCTTTGTCTTTCTGGCGAGCGCATGTGCCCTATAGCAAAAACCTCTCAAAAAAAGAAAAAAATGTATTTTAAAATTTTCTTTCTTTTCTTCATGTCTGTTTTTCTTTATGTCTTTCTCTCTTTCTTTGTTTTAATTTGACCAAAGAGGGACAGGGAGAAAGTAAGCTGCCAGATTTGGACTCAAACTGCAGTTGGCCATGTGACAGTCCAGTGCCCTCGACCACCATGCCACCTGCTAGCCTACACATATATACATCTTTTTTTTTTAAAAAAAAGAATTATTTATTTATTTAATTCCATTTATTATTATTATTTTTTAAATTTGACCAGAGAGAGAGAGAAATGGAAAGGGAGAAAGCAAGCCACCAGGTCCAGGACTCGTACTGAAGTCAGTGCCTTTAGCCACTTCGCCACCTGCCGGCCCCCATATATTTAACTTTAAACAAAGAAATAATGAAAAGCTTACTGAGCTGGGTGGTGAGTTGTAGAGGAAGGGGAGCAGCCCCGGAAGCTGGGCTGACATTCCATGAGAGTATCCCAGTGTGGCCGGCATTTGTCCAAGGGTCCAGGATCTGCTGACCTACCAGTGCCTGTGCCACCCCTAGTAGTAAGTATTTTGATAGCTCCCCTACCTAGAAGACATGGTTTCTGCTTTGGAAAGGAGGCAGGCTCTCCCCTATGGCTAGTTCCTCCCCCGGCCAGCCACTCAGCCCCTGGGTAAGTCCACTACGTTGATCTCTTTGATCAAAGATTCTGTGTGAGGGCATTCTACCCTCTCCCTCCTGGCTTACCTGTCTCAGCCTCCCCTTAGAGCTGGGAATGTCCAGTCCACGCTCTAGAGCAGAAGTCCACAGTTCTTGCTGTGTGTTTAAACACCATCCAGGCCGGGCTAGCTAGTGGAGTGGTGGTTAACGCAGCTGGATTCCACATGACCAGCTGTGCAGTTTGAGTCCTGGACTTGGCTCTCTTAAAACAAGTCGTGTGTGTGTGTGTGTGTGTGCGCGCACGTGTGCGCGCCCAAACTCCTGCGAGGAGAATGGAGAGAAGGGATTTCTGTGTGGCCGCCCAATGGGGGTGCTTTCTCTCCTTCCTCAGCTCCCACCTCCCACTTCTCTTTCTCTCCAGCAAGTGCATGTACCCTGTAGCAAATTCAAAACAAGACAAAATGACAAAACACCCAGGCCACAGTGGCACAGCAATAAAACATGACTCTAGAGGTGGGCCTGTGTGGGAAGGTTTGGTGTTTGGTTCCAGAGACTTCCCTGAGTATGCTGGGTACATGTGTGCCCACGATGCATAGCTGTTTGGGTCTGGGGGTGGACTGTGATTTGAAGATCCTGTTGGGGGTGCTGTCTTCCTGACTCTTTCGCTCGCTCTCTCTCTCACTCATAGAAAACATAAACACAAACCGAAAAATAAGCTCAGACCTGGATGGTACCCAGCACTGGGCAATGGAAACTTCCAGGGTAAGCAGGGACAGGGGTGTTCTCCAAGGTTCCCATGTGGCTGTGATGTGCAGCTTGGGTTGAGAACCACGGAGGCAGCTGGGCTGAGGCAGAAAGCCCTGGTGTTGGCCAAGGGGCTAGCACAGATGCACTGTCCTTCACTGGACATCATGCAGGACACTCAGACCATGCTTGCAATTGTTTAAAAAGATGATTGGGACCAGCAATTAGCGTAATGGCTATGTCGCTGGACTCCCATGTAGTTGACTGTGGTTCGCGTCCCAGACCTGGTGGCTTAAAACTCACGCCGGGCGCATGTGCGTGCGTGCCCAAGATCTCAAGAGCAGAATGGAGGAGAAGGGATTGCAGTGTGGCCATCCCCCCTGGGGGGTGATTTCTCGCTTTCTGTCTCTCTGTCTCTCTCTGTCTGGCGAGCACACGCGCCCTATAGCAAAAACCTCTTAAAAAAAAAAAAAGATGATTAAAGGTGACCAGCAGATGGCATAATGGTTACGTTGCTGGACTCTCATGTATTTGGCCACGGTTTGAGTCCCAGACCTGGGGCTTAAAACTCGCACTGGGAGGGGACCAGCAGTTAGCGTAATGGCTATGTCGCTGGACTCCCACGTAGTCGACCGCGGTTCATGTCCCAGACCCGGTGGCTTAAAACTCACACTGGGCGCGTGTGCGTGCGTGCCCAAGATCCTGAAAGGAGATTAAAGGAGAAGGGATTGTGGCATGGCAATACCCCCCCGGGGGGGGTGATTTCTCTCTTTTCTTTCTGTCTCTCTCTCTGTGTCTCTGGTGAGTGCACATGCCCTATAGCAAAAATCTCTCTCAAAAAAAAAAAAAAAAAAAAAAAAGAATGAAAGATGATTAAAGAGCTGGGATCTGAGCAGTGTGACGTCACCACGTCCAGAGTATGCCAGCTTGGGCACGAGTGTTGAAGTGATGAGGACAGAGCTGGTCCAGGCAGGATCTTTAGGCCAGTCTTCCAGAAGAAGGTCCTAGCGGGGTTTTTGGGTGGAGAATCCCACATGGGTAAACTGGCTCTCCTGATCCTCTCTAAGGGGTCTCTTCAGGGCTCCTTGCTCCCACCTTTGGGCCCCCACAAGGTGTGGTTGATTGCTCTTTGCTGCCCTGCTCTCCAGGACACCCCTTCCGGCATAGGCGGGACAGATAAGAGCCGTGCTTGTTAGCACAGCTGTGCTCTGCACACACAGCCTTGTTTTCCAACCTACGGAAGCCCGGGTGCGGAAGCATGGCTATATCCACCCAACTTCAGAGTTGGGCTTGGTTCCAAATCAAAGGAAATTTCGTCAGTTTTCCCAGACACAGGGATAAAAATAGAGTTGACAGGAATCTCAAAGGGTCTGCTGGGGTACCAAGGTCACACCTAGAAAAATCAATCGACTCTTTGGTCTACGCTGTCAAATGCCTTGTTCCAACTTCAAGTTCAGCGTCAACAGCTCTCCTCGGAATCTGTTCCCATAGAGGTCTCTAGAGACGATGCTCTAAAAGGTGATGTCTTTGAAGAAGGTCGTTCTGTTCCCTTTGCCGCTAATGCTCCTGGACCCTCTAGGTATTTACTGGACCTCTTTGGCCAGTTAGCTTAGTACAGGTGCTGGGGTTTAAGAGGTTCAGGCAATTTTCTGCTGGTCAAGGAGACTGGACCTGGGGAGAGGGACTGGCTGGTGGACTAGATTGGACTAGATTGGACCCTGGCAGGATTTTTTAAATCTCCAGATGTAAACTTGGATCCCATCTCTGGTGTCTGAGTCCCGCGTAAGCTCACGCTATGGCGTAGGGCCTCCCACTGTTCTGCCTCAGTGTCCCCAGGAGGACTGTGCAATGTCCCACGTGCCCTTCCTCACACCCATGAGAGCCTTCTCCTCGTTACTGCCCTTTCACCACCTCCGTATCAGCGTTTTATATTCAGTAGCAGGGAGGGTTTTTGGGGGTTGTTGTGAGGATCCTCCCAAGTGGGGAACAGATTGCCCACCACGTGCCAGATGGAGGTCACATTACGCTGAGCAGCAGAGGTTAAGCCTGATGTTCACATTTGTGGTTCCCAACCCGTACACGTCTTCAAGATGAGCTGTGTGCGATCAACTGCCCTGCTCATTGGAGGGCCCCCGGAACGTCATAAAGCAGGTAGTACACCCCTTCAGGGCTTGGAGGGGCCACCGACTCCCACATCTCCACATGTTTGTCACACATTCCCCACTCCTCCCCCCCAAAACGTGACTTAGATGGGCCAGGAGCGGCCTACAAAACCAGCCTCATTCCCCCATGGTTCTGGAGAGCTTTGGACCTCTGGCTGCACTGCTGGTACAGGAACGGCTGTGGGAAGGCTGGATAGAGAAATCCAGTCCAGAAGTGCCCGAGACAATCTGCTCCGCCCCTCAGAGCTTCCATTTCCTCATCTGTAAAGTGGGAACGTCCAATTACTGATTTCACAGGGTATGGGGAGGAGGTTATCAAGGAGCTCTGAACGCAGGAAGCTTGATGAGGCTGAGGAACCGTGTTTTCCTAAGGGCCCTCTCAGTTCTGAGCCGGCCTTCTCCATGGCCCTCTCCTCCAAGCCCTTGCAGGATGGGTGTGGGCTGGGTTGGTCCTTTGAGGAGGACACGAAGGTGCCACAGGCGGTGACTTGTCTCTGAAACACAGGATGTGTCAGAGTAGCTCAGGGGTCCTGGAGCCTGTCTCCCCACCCACATGGGTCTCTGGGCTGCTGCCCTGAGCTTCTGTCTCCCACTAGCCAGCCTGCAGCCCTGCCTCGTTCCCTGCTGTCCCTGCCGGAAACCCCACCCCATTGTCCTGGGCGGCCTGGGCCTCTGGAGTCCAGCTGTGCTGGGCTGACAGTTTCCTTTTCTGGCTGAGATCATTCCAGGCGATGCCTATCGGGTTTAGAGAAGGGGAGGGGGGGGAGTGGGCTGTGCAAGCCCTGCTCTGCCCCATGATATCTGCAGACAATACTTAGAGAGGAGGCCATTTAATCTCACAGCCTGCCCTCTGCAACCTTCTCCTTCCCTTCTTCCCACCCCCACCTCCCCCAAGGCTTTGACAAGTCTCATTAACTCCTTCAGCATTGTCAGGGCTGTGGGTGGGATGGTGATGAAGTGATAACCCCAGGAAGCAAGCGGATTTTCTGGGGGTATGGGAAGCTCTGTATATTTCAGTAGGGATGGTTCAGTCCTTTAGCTTTGTCCCAGGAAAAAGTTTCTTTGTTGCTGAGCTTTGGAGTCAGATGGGAGAGCAAGCCCGAGCTCCATCGTGGAGCGTGGAGCGTGGAGCGTGGAGCGTGGAGCGTGAGCTCAGTGATCCTGGGAAACTCGAGTGCCTCCTCCAAGCCCTGGCCTCCTCATCTATTAAGAGGGGATAAAAATACCCACTGCTTGGGGCCGGCAAGTGGCATGTTGGTTAGGGGTGCTGGACTCCCATATGGCTGACCGTGGTCCAAGTCCTGGACCTGGTAGCTTGCTTTCTCCCTTTCCCTCTCTCTCTGTCCCTTTCTGGTCAAATTTAAATAAATAAATGAAGTTAAATAATTATTTTTAAAAAATGCCCACTGCTTAAGGTGATTGTAAGCAATGCATGATCTTATACATGTTCCAAGCCTAGCAGAAGTCATTCCTACTAATGTCACCTCTTTGTGGCCATCCGGTAGGTGGCCTCGTGACAGGAGTGAAAAGGAACATGCTATGCCTCACCCTTTCCTGGAAAAAGCAGCTCAGATTCTGATGCTAAGTCAGATGGGTCACCTTGGCATGGAAGGAATGACACTTCATCCAGCCCGTCCATATTTACCAAAAGCTTACTGCATGCCAGGCACGTTCGAGCTTAGAAGATGACAATGATCAAGATAGTCCCTATCTCCAGGGTGTGTAAGAGTATGCAGGCCTGAGGTCAGACAGGAAGAGATAACAAGTAAAAATAACTTCAGGCTGGCAGGTAGTATGGTGGTTAAGGTGCTGGACTCCCGCATAACTCACTGTGGTTCGAGTACCAGACCTGGTGACTTGCTTTCTCACTTTTCCTCTCTCTTTCTCTCTGTCTCTCTCTGGTGAGCGCAGGTGCCCTATAGCAGATTTAGAAAAATAATAATAATAATAGTACATAAAATTAAATAATTAAAATAACAACAACAACAACAATAATAATAAAACTTCACATAGAGATGGGTGCTTTGAAGATAACTCATAGAATAAAGGCTAGAGTGACAGGTTGCTTGTGTGCTCTTTGAGATAGGGTGTACAGGGAAGGCCTTTCTGCAGGGATATTTACACAATATTCGAATGGTGGGAAGGAGGAACATGTGGCAGGAAGGTTTTCCAGTAGAGAACAGGCAGTGGAGACGCATCTGGAAGAAGCATAGGCAGGAGGAGGCACCTCTGCTTGGGTAACCTACAGATGCGGGATTGGGAGTCTCTCTGTAAGGCCTGGGGCTGTGCCTTACGCCTGTGATCTCTGTCCCTACTCAGGCAGCCTGCTGCCCTGAGGGCAAAG